GTGCCATCAGATGTCTATTTTTATACACTTGTATTGTTTCCAAAGTGACTAGAAATATTCGCCAATATCAGGTACATTCATTTTAATTCGCCTTTTGTTCTTGTCCTCTCTTTCTACCCATCTAATTTGACTATGTCAACACTAAAAGCACGTTGTTATCTCACAGCAATATGCTGTATGATGTGCTTACACCACTTTTTATATGACAAAGACATGGTCCTTTATCCCTAGGTCTTAGCACCTTAACTTGTAACCTGCTGATTGCTGTAAATCACAATTCCATTGATGTCAAAAGGAAACACCTGTAAGATAAAATTCACTTCTGTGGAACCAGGGCCTATCGCATTATCACAGATATCAATCAAAATGTCACAGTGTAACCAAAAACATTTTGCTAATGGCAAGTAAATCCAATAACTAGAGGAATAACTATTTGTAGAGAATGACATTTTGAAGCTGCTCTATTTCATCATTCTTCAGACTGGGTATAGTAACTTACTTATATAGTAACATAGTCACTACTACAAATTCAACTGCATCATAAGAGAAAATTTCTTGAATGTATTATTGTAATGAAGGTTAGTACCTCAAGGCAAAAAAAAAATAAAAAAAAAAATAAGTAATTGAGATCCTAGGATTTATACCAAGAAGAGACCACTGAAAACAGAAGAGAACACAGGGATGCAAAGGCAATGACTCTAATAATGTATATATTATGAAATGTAATTAATAATTTCATGGATGTTGAATTGAACATGGATGTTAAATTAAACAAAGTTTATTATCTAAAATTGTATAAACCTACCCCTTTTTTTCTTCAACACATCAGCAACCAAAAACTATGTAGCAATGTTAGATAAATTGGTGTGAAAGAACAACTCATAACTGTGAACGCATGATAAACAAAACTATTTAAATGTTCACATAATTCTGCCTTCATATGTGAAAAATGTCTTTCTAAAAAACACTCAGTATAACCTCTACCAATGAGAATACCAAAGAGCTTGGTAAACTTCATATACAACTCTGTCCATATCATCATCTTCCTGAGAGCATGTTGTCCTTTACTACAAGATACACTACTGTGAAGATCACAACATATTATTTTTGCCTTCATTTGCAGTGGCCCCTGTGACCATGTTTCTCTCTAACATTTGGTAACCTTTCTGACTGTTCAGCAAAACAGCAAAGCCAGTTTAAGAACACAGTGTGCACACACTGCAGAACTTGCCATGAAAACTATTTCACATAGTCAAAACAATTAATAATATAAACTCAGCTGTGATGATTATTTCCAAGTTTTGAACCAGATGCTTCACATTTAAAAAATTACAAGTAAAAGCTTTTCTGATTTTCTCTCTCAGAAATCTTGCTATGGCTTTATACCATTATAACTGGACCTTTGTTTTATGGCTAGGAATTAACATATATTCTATCCATTACACTCAGTACTACTACAGTTTCAATGGGAATGACTCATCAGTGTCATTGAGAGCATGAGAAATGTCAAGCCTTGAAATCTAGGGAAAAAACACTACCTATAGGAACAAAAGAATAGACACAGGCTAGCCCAGAGTTTTGCCAACACAATATTACATACAATTTATTTATTTACTTATTTTACAAAATGCAGCATATTAACATCTCCTACCCCCAGCAGTATTGTCATCTGATCCACTGCATTAGTTTTTTCAAAGGAGGAACAATGGAAGAATGCAGTGAGCTCTGCTTGTACAGCAGCAGTTTTTCCATTTCCAAAAGAAAAATAAACAGAACTTTAGGATAAAATTCTAGCCATGATGATCCATTGGTAATTGAAAACAATTATCATTCTTGCCCTAATGTCTGATATCATAGTATTATAGTATATCATAGTATACTGAACGACAATTTGTTAACTAGACTAAATCAGTAAATTATAAGACAAAAGTCAGACTATATGTTTGCAAAATCTAATAACTGAAGTTTCCTTAGTTCTCAACCCACAAATAGAAAATATATACATATATTTAAAAAAAAAAAAAAACAAAAACAGAGGCGATAAACAAGTTGTCATGCTAGCTTCTTCAATTAGAAGTTAACGATATACACTACCTATTGCCATTCACCAGAGAACCTCCAAGTGCTTTACAAATATTAAAAAAGTCTTATAAAGGATCAATTTGTTCACTACTATTGAAAGACAGACACCTTTCAGGTGCAAAGTAGCAGGTGGTTAACTAGCACACTGCAGCACTACATAACATTTTAGGGCAGAAGGTGGAGAAGAATGCCTTAGTAAATTGAGACTGCAGAGAAATCCATGGAGGCAGAATGTAATTACATGAATTGGAATCAGGCCAGGGTTCCAAGTGTAACACCCCTTCTATGTGAAAAGTGCATTGGGATCATTAATGGCAAAGAGGACACTGGCTTCATGAAAATCATATACTTTTTTTAAAGGAACTATTTTAGGAAAGAGACATTACCTTTTGCATACTGTTACCTTCAATAGTAATTAGATATTGAAATGTAGTCTACATAATTCCATCACAAAGAACTATACATGTATCACTTTTTTAAGAAATATCACCATGAGAACAACAACAAGGAAAAATCTTTTCCCCCTACCCTAACAAACCTGACTCACGTGTCTATTCTTCTTTTGTGACAGATGGAATTACAGTAGGTTAGGCAAAGAGAACACATTCCTTTGCTATTTCAACAGATGCATGCTATCAGCCTAATCCCCACTGTTTCAACTCATTGCTTTTCTCTCACTTCACTGACTGATGATCTCTCTTTAATCATGTGACCTACTATAAGCCAAGAAAAAAAAAAAAAAAAGAGAACAAAACTCAATCTAAAGAGAACAAAACTCAATCTACTGATGGTTGGTACTTCCAACTTCTTCACAGCTAAGATTCCAATCTTCCAATCTTCAATTTTACTATCACAACTTTCTTAATGTTTTTATTTTATTTTATTTTATTTTTTTTGGGGGGGGGATACTGACCCTTCTTTTCCTGCTTTAGCAGACTGTTCTAGATCATATTACTAATTCCAGGAGCAAAAGCTTACCCCAGATGATGCACAAATTCACATACAGATCAAATTTATTATTAAGTTTCTTCACTAGGACAGTATGCTATGTAGCTAGTGCTACACTGGTCTGGTATTGATCCAATGCAATGACAGAGATCTATCGCTCAGTAACCTGTACCACTGAATCAACAGTTACAATGCTTGTTGCTCAGTAACCTCATATACTGTAAGTCCACATTTCCTTCTGCACAGTCTTACAGGTACCTTCCATAGACTTTCATCAGCCATTTGAAGAACTATCAGCTTTCTGTTTATTAGTCTATTTATACAACTTTTCACATAAATTCTCAAGCCTCTTATTACCACTTTGCACAGCCACAGTTATTAGATTTACTGTTCCTTTAAATCTCATGTCACTGATTCACCCTATAAGCACCATGAGATGTGATAGACTGTTTTTCTCTCAGTATTGTATCAAGCCATATCCATATTTTGGGAACTCATTTTTGTTACTGCAAAAATTGGGGACAGCTCTAGTGACTTTTAAAGTCTTCTGAACAAAGTATCATTGTATTTGTGAATATGACTGCATAAGATCCATTTTTGGATTCACTGTGCTAAGTGCTGAGCTCACGTACACAGAGTAAATAGCAATTATGGACTCTTTAAAATACTTAGACTTTACAAACAGCAAAATGGACACCTCAGTGGGCCAAATAATGGCATGATGCTGCGATGTCTTGAAGTCAATATTATTTACTGCATCACAGTCTAGTCTGCAATCCTAAATTCCTGACTTCGTTCTGTTTTACTGTGTGAAACCTTGACATATATGACTAAAATGCAGTCTATTTTGTAGAAGCCATCACAAAGAGGTAACTTACTATCTGGCAATGCATTGACACAATGGATCTTTACACTTTTAAAAGTCCTTTGCTTTATATCTATTTCAAATGCTGTAAGTTCGTAAGTCAAGATTTCTACACAGTGGCAGTAAAAGGAAAAAATTGAGAGCAATGAAGATACTCTCCAAGGTTCTGTCTGCCACTTTCTATTTACTCTTTAAAATAAGTCCTCTTTTCCTAATGTAGGAAGGGAGGGAAAGTGTTCCATGAGATACGTTAGCAGAAATGCTTTGCATACATTTCTGGAAGCAGAATATATGTCTTTTTTTAAAATAGTTAAGGATAAAAATCACTAAAAACACCCCTTATGCCTCATGTGATTTTAATGAAATTTAAATAACATTCATCACTTTGATAAAATAAAACTTTCTATGAGTTTAAACACAATACTGACAATGATCCTAAAACAACACTACAGATTTTAGCTTTCCTTATTTCTTAAGCTGTACCACTAAATATTTACTCTATCATAAAATAAACTCCCTCTACCCGCCAAGTAACAGTGTGAGCACGAATCACATACCCTCAATAACATGAACAGCAGATATTAGACTTGTCTTTCTATTTGACGGTCTCCATTTAGTTCCTTAGAGAAAGAATGTTATGTCAGGCTTTATGATTATAATTTGTGATGAAAAGAATACATCTGAGGAGGGAAAAAAAAAAACATCAAAACACCTATACTGCCATCTTTTGTTGTACAGAGTTTCCTTTATACCCACCGGACAAGATGTGCTTGGTGAAGTTTCTATGAAGCAGAATACCTTTCACATAATAAAATGTCGATTACTTGGAAGTACACCCATTTATACCTGCTAATGATTCGTTCCTATGAACTACAAGACTGTTACATATGACTAAGTGTACAATGCTTGCTTTTGCCACTATAAATGTAACCGATAAAAGTATTAACCTTAAAAATACAGGAAGACAAAAAAAATGCTGTTGGGCAGAGGGGTAGCAAAATACTGGGAAGTACATGCATTTTATAAAAAGCAAGTACTAATCAATTAAATTTATATTTAAAGAGAGTTAAGACAGTATGTATTTATTCATAGCAACACATTTCAGATATAATGGATACATCCACATTTCATCATCTAGATTAAATTATCATGAATATACACCTTAAAAATTTTCAATTATGATATGCTTTGATACTTCGCCATTTCATTTTGTTTATACATATCATATACAATGTAAAAATATGGAGTCTTAAAATGGATTTTCAAATTATATTCTTTTTCACATCTCTAAGTTTTAGAAATGAAACATTTAGAAGCACGATTCTTATACAATCTATGAACTAAAGGAGGGTACAGTTTAAAATGATTATGTCAAAGAAATGACAACTGTACTCTTTGTAGGAACAGGGATGAATAATTACAAAGCTGGCACATAATTAAGCAATTTTGACTGCCGTATTCTTGAGCTGTCGTTTTGATGTGAAGTGCTGTCATGCCCAGAAACACACTTCATGCTGGACAGGCATCTTCCACTTTGATCTACACTTATGCCAGTGAAATGAGGTCATGATCTGGTCATTAAATGGGGCTTCTACGTATTGCTCAATGCCTCCTATCCAGCTAGGCTTACCCAATCTTTATTAAAATCAGGCATGATACTGTGTTCAATATTTTGACAAAGAAAACACAAACATCACAGAAAAAAATGAAGTTTAGCTCACTTACATAGAGAGATGGAACACTGCATTGTAATATTAAACTGTTTTCTAATAAATGACTGCATCTTTCCATAAGACAGTCATATCACAAACAGATGCATTTTAAACAAAGGATGAAATGAAGCAAAGCACAAGAAAGCGCAGTGTTCTGTTAAAAATATGAAAAAATAGAGAAAAATGAAAGTCTAAAAATTTATACAAAATAAAATATTTATGACTTAGTGATGACTGGTGATTGCTAGATACTTTCGCATTTCAGTAAACACAAGCTAGTCAGATGGAAATTTCTTGCTTTTATTCTCATTCTGTGAATTTTTTCTTGGTGGGGTATTTTGCTCTCCCAAGTATTTCATGTCAAGACTAAAATGAAAACAACTCCCCACATCACAGCCCCTTTAGATCATCAGTCTGCTTTTTATGCTGAATAAGCCATACCATCTCCTGCTTACCATAATGGGGAGGGGGGAAACATGACTTAGATTTAGATTTTTTTTCCCTGAAAAAGCTAGTCTGATTTGTTCACTGTTGACATTATACCTGGCAGAACAATATGTCCATGTATCATAATTCCATTCACTAATATGAATATTAATCATACCAACTTCACTCCTGGAAAGAATAGTCTGAGACAGTAACTACTACCTTAGGAGGATGGAAAAAAATGTTCTCAGGAAGCTCATTATCAGCAGGGTCTTGCATCACTAGGTCAACATACTAAGGAGTTTTTCTGATGACTGTGTGCTGCAGCCTTCCTCTTATTTTGGATCAAGCTGTATCATTCTCTAACTAGTTTCAGAAAGCTTAGAATATGTTACCACCAGTTGGGTAAATTGGGCCAAAGCTCATCAAAATTCTCAGCAATTACATTGGAGGGGAACTGGTGAACATACAGAGGGCACAAGACACATTCCCTAAGGAAACCTGAAGGACAGAGCATAAAAAAGAACCACATTATATATTCAATATAGAACATATGATAGAATTTGAAACCACAGTTATTGTGCACATCATATTTGTAATACATAGAGGAATGCTGCTTGCTTTGAGTATAGCTATAAATAACTGTATACATACATATCAGTATCTGAAAATATATTCGCACAGAAGACTTTAAGAGCGTTGTCACACAAAAAGTTTGCATGCATATGTACTATAGCCATGAATATCCTAGGAAACATGCACAAATTTGAAACAATTTTAAGATGTTTATAAAACCTCTTAAATTGGATTCTGCACCCAATTTCATGTTTGTTTTAAATTAGCCACTTCTGTAATATGTATATAATATTGTATGATGAGGGTAATTTTGCAGCACCTTAAGAAGCATTAATTCATGCCATGAAGAACATTTAGAATGATTTTACCATGAGCAATTTGTATCAAACCGTTTATAAAGAAGTAGAAAAAATTTAGAAGAAGAAAAACCTCTGAAAATTTGATGAAATAAATGTAGGTTTACTCATAGTGGGCAAATAATACAAAACCATAAAAAGGATTCCATTACAGATATAAAAGATTAAAATGCTATCCCTACTTTTGTGAAGCAATTTACCCTTAGCTACCGGCATTAAAAGAGGTTTCATCCAGAATGGTCTTACACCTTTACGCTATTCAGTTGGTTCAATTTCAAACAGCAAACTCAGATGAAAAATATAATTGCTAATAAAATTAAAGCAATACTTCACCAGATCTAAAATCTGAATAAACAGAATTATAAAATCACTCAGCATACGTATGCCGTACTTAACACTTTCAACTGTTGCATTTGGCCAGATTCAGTGAAGATATTCAAAACAGCTTACACCTCAATTGTTTTATCTATTACACATATAAAAGCTGAAATAACTAAAAGTAATGGTAAACAATATTTCAAAGCTATACTCATATCAGAAGTGTTAACATTAATAGTTATAAATTAATCAGTCTGAATTAATTTATTATGCACTACAACTGTACTTGTGATAATGCATTTATCTAGCAACACTGTTATGCTACCAAACAGTGCATTTCCATAACTGCTGCATTATTATTCAGGATTACTGGAAATCTGCAATAAATTATTGATGGTATGTTTCAGAGAACAAAACAGAAAGCAAGTAGACCAAAAACTTGAATGGAGTTTTGAGATCCACAGTCCTAAAGCACTCTGAAGCTCAGAGTATTATTATCTCCTGTTGATCAACAATAAAAAAAGAAGGTAAAGTGTAGAAATCACATTCCTATTCTGTTTACCTCAGCAGAATGCCCAGAGTTTATGCAAATGGTATCAAAAACTCAGATTACTGAAACTGCATCTCTGATGTTGCCAATGCTTATTAGCAGGACACCACATTAAGTAACATCACATTAAGTAAATTAGAATCAGCTGTTCCACTAAAAGACAATAAACACCATAGGTGTGAGCACTGCAATAGACATTTGAGTATAACATACATGGCAGGGCACAACTTGTCAGAAAGTTTGCATTCTTTCACAATAGCACATCACATAGTTGTCACATATCTTTAAATAAAGATAAAAGGCAAAAATATTTAAAGCTCACTGTCACATATTAGTTACTTTATTATATGAAACAAAGGTTGGAACCCAGAAATTTGATAATGTAACCAGACATAACTTAAGCAGACATAACAGCAAAGTTTGATACTAAACCAACAAAAATTATGAAGTTTTTTGTCCCTCACCTGACCACATTTACCAGTCCTTTGGTCTGAAAAGTTCTGTCTTTTTTTTTTTTCTTAATAAAGTACATAGACAAGCTTTGGGAGATGTTTTAAAACAGCATTAATGAACAACATATTGTTATATTTGTTTTTAATTTACTCTCCTACCTTAGCATCTTTAGGTTTAACCACTTTCATGAAGGCACCTCTCACCAGGGCTTCCTCTCTCTCTCTCCTGGTTACTTTCCGAGTATCAAGAAATTTCAGGTTTGTCAATTTGTGCAGAACGAAGTATCTGCCAGACAGCAAAATGAACACTTAAAATCCAGTAATAAACAACAGTATACTCACAGAATAAACGACTAAAACACAGCAGCAATAAAAAGCAACAGCCTTTGCTTCTTTATCTCTGTTTGCCCTTTTCAAGTAATGTAGCTTATGTAACAAGTTCTTACAATTTATTGTCTAAAATGAAACTTCTTTTAAGTGCCCATGGCAATTTAATACTGGGTAGATCAGGTAGATCAGGAAATTATCAACAGGTATGTATGTCATCTGCAGCTATTACTGAGGTATAAGACATTTTCATGAATAAAATAAAATGGAAATTATTTTTAGATTGCTGGTTTAGACTTCCAAGTAATTTTAAGAATTCCATCCCATGTTGCAGGGAAACGCCAATCTGAGGCATTGGAATTACCAGCTATCTGCCTGGAAAGAATTCTTAGCAAACAGTCATATGCAAACACTTCAGATTTATTTCACATTTTCCTGAAACACAAATGACCAGTGACATTAGAGATCCATGTGAACAGCAAATGAGGGGGAGGTGTGATTTGTCTTCTGCCACACATCCTGAAACGCACTCCTTTGTCTTGATGGGAGTGCATGTCAGTGTTCAAAACTCTTTAAAAACAGGAATTAGTCTAGAGAAGACATCAGGAGTTATTCCCAGGATGTGCTCTCCAAAACTAAATTTTGACACAGGCACCATTTGGAAGCAGAATTCTGATTTGGTCTTGCTAGGAAGACAAGGTATCCTTAAGGCATACAGACCCCATCTCAGGATTAAATGCTGAAGCACTCAGGAAGAGACCATTTTTTGGTAATATTTTCATAAGTCAAAGCTCCTGTTAGAATTAATCAGTATTCTACTTATCCATTTTACTCAAAGTACAGCAACATTTTAGCCTCAAAAAACAACATTGGCTCCTTGTACATAGAAGAGAACATGGCAGATCAGAAACAGAATAAGGCTCACAACCAGAGAAAATCAAAATACCAAGCCACCTCAAGTACGTTATTTACATTTAGTCAACCAAATGTGAAGCAGACACTGCAAAGTGAGGAAGTGACAGACTTCCTAGCAGGGGGTAGAAAGGTGATTGATAATGTCCCCCATGCCTAGTTGCTTTTCATAAACCTGCAGAGAGACTGCATAATCATACCAATTCCTTCTGGCAGAAGCAGAATGAAATTGGAGTAGTAGAAAACTCCAATTAACATAGTATTTTTGAAACAGAACAATACTAGAAAATGTGTTTTAAAAGGTAAGAGTTGCCTTATTATACTATCCCTGAGGCCAGATAGACAATTGAAAAAGACCGTAAGCGTCCCCATCTACAACCAAGAAAAATTTAATGCTGTGAACAAACCTTTCAGCCAAGTACACCTTTCCTTTAAGGCAATAGCCCCATAAATTGCTAAAAAGTGAACTGAAAATGCTCAGTGCTGAAATGCTCAGACAATTTAAATGTGAATCCTGACTCTATGACATTATGTGATATCATAAGAAGAGAGTCACTTCACAAAACAGAACATGTTCTAAGACCATTTCTTAAGCAATAGCTACTGATCTAGGAGCCTGACACATTCTCAGCCTCCTCCCAGCTTTCCTGGCTGCCCTTCCAGTCCTCCCTGGCATTTTGCTGGCCCTTATCTTTCAGTGAAGGAGAATCTATCCGTCTTGTATTACTGGCAGAAAAGCTCTGATGACAACAGATTCTTTCAAATGAAGACATGTACAGAAGGAAACAATATGTCAGGAATGAAGAAGAGTGAAGCTAAAAATGAGTAAAGACACCCACTAAGTGTAGGGTGAGAAAAGATGAATATTCAGGTGAAGAAAACATCAGTATTAGAAAATCAGCAAATGTTTAATGATGGAATGAAATATGCCATTGAAAAGCAGGCTGCAACAAAAATGACAACAGACTAAGACAGCACTGTCATCTTTGCTGACTTTGGATCACAGCCCTAATGTCAGTCTCTCAATCATTTCAAAAGAGCTTAAAATTATAATAGCATTCCTTGATACAAATGTATTTCTATATTTTCAAGCCATCCTGACTGCACTTCAGAAAAACAGAATTAGCACCAGTACTTGTTAATTCCAAAAAAAAAACCTAAACAGCCATTACCCAAAGAAATTAAGCCACAAACTACATCACGATGTTTAGCATTGATTTTTATTGACCCTTTAAGCAATGCAAATATTAAAAAGTTGCAATGAAGTTATCTCATCAGTAGAACCAAGGTATATCAGTGATTAACTCTTAAAAGCTGCTTTGAAATAAAATGCCACTTATTCTGATTGCTTTTACTAAATAAGGAATAAAATGGATCTGTATTATATGATACTATGAATATGGTACTTTTTCATTAAATAAAGGAAAACGTTTGACTTCCTGTATATATTTTAGCTAGAAATATGAAGATGCAGCTTCAATCTAAATGTAACAAAATTTTGCCATAAAAATACAGGAAAGGATAAACAAAGCCCTGGAATGAACACTTTACAATATCAATTCAACCCTTGTAAATTTAATCCAGGGTTATTTGTTGCACAAAATCTCTTTACTGTGATGTATGACTTAGTTACTAAGGTTATCACAGCAGTATCCTAAAGTTGCATAGTACATAAAACATTTCAGTTAACAATGCAGGGAGGTTAACTCCCACAGATAACCTACTATCAGAGGGTTAGACCAGATGACATGCCTCTGTCAGCTTTCAGGAGCTATTGATGGTTCAATCAGTCTGTTTTGAAGGTAAAGTACAACAAAAGGGCACTAAACTTATTCAAACTGTCAACAGGGACTATCTGGAATGTTGCTTGCAGGTAAGTAATTTTGGGTGTTTTAAGACTATTATCAAACACCAATGGCTGCAGAAAAAGACAGCTACTAATAACACAGAATGCAGCCATCATAAAATACTTTATGGCAGGTACTAAGATCCATAAATTTCATGACACATTGCACCTCTTTCAGACTTGTAAAATCACTACTTAAGAGAATGGTGTTTAATGAAGAAAGATCCATCTACATTTTGCGTTATAAGTTTAAGATTTATTATGGGTTAGAGGTTGGGGGACAGGGGGGACAGGGTTTCCTTCCCCCCTAACTCCTACCCCCCCCTTTTTTTTTAAATCATTTGGTAAGTTAGCACTGCTCCATGTACTCTTAGACTACTATTACTCAGCTTAACATCTTTGTAGTGGCATTAAAGAAGGTTATCAACTTCAGTGATGAGAATAAAGATGAGCTCTAGAGAGAAAAAAAAATAATACAAAAACAAGGGCACTAGTAAGGTGTTTAGAGATCCATTTGTCACTGCCTGTACACCAATATTCTGATTCATGGTGGATTAAGGAAATGAACTATGTAAGAAAAGTTGCACCTTCTTTTTTCCAGAATCATTTCCTTGCACCTTAACCCCCCTGTGCCAAGAGTCCTGTGAAAATAAACTAATAACAGAAATACGACACAAACGGGAACACTAAGAGATTGAAAAAAGCAGTGAAAATCACATTTCATGTTATTTACGTCTTAGTTAAGTGAAAATGACAATAAAGATTAACAATTCGTTTAGCAATTACGTAAGTGTTACATGTAATTATTAGTTGTTTTTTTTTTTTTTTTAACAATTTTTACACAGGCTTGTCAGGATATTTGAAAAGTGGGATGGGCTTGAGGGGGCATTTGCAAAGGAATGCAGTGTGTTTGGGATTCAACTGCTATTGACATTGGCAAAAGCTCAGTGGGGCAAAACCTTCCTTTGAAGAAACTTATTGGAGTTTAGAAAGGGACAGGACAAAGACAGCTTTGAGATCAGCTATTGCAATTTATTAAACAACACACAATTCTAGTTTAGGTAAAGAAATACCATCTGTGATACAGATTCTTTTTATAGGCAGTAACAAATCACAGGCTTGTATTCTTAACTCTGGTAACAAACAGGGAACTTAAGACCTATCTGTTACCTTGCAGGCTTATTCTGGTTATATTTCTAGTTCTCTACCATGTAACAGTCATTACTTTAAAATATAGTCCTTGGGTTATTCCATCACCCCAAAAGATTGGTGACAATTCGTACAATATTTGGAGATAATTTCACAAATTAAGCAAAAGAGTTCAATAAGAATGCAAATGTGTTCCTTAAAAAATCACCTGGGAGAAAGGAACAAATCTATTTTAAACATATGTAAGAAATTTGTCAGATTTTTGATCAAAGGTGTAAATGAGTTTTATATCAACTCATTTTTTTTATTAAATAGCTACAGCATAAACTTCATTCAGAACTGTTATTTTTAGTAGCCATGTAAGTTCAGGCATAAAAATTCTCAGAAAGTTTTAATCCATTTCTTAACAGTACTCTTTACCATTATCCAACAATTCCAGGAAATTTCTATTCTAGAGCAGTGAACACCCTAACAAGAAAAATCACATCACGTCTCATAGCATCTGAAGGCCTAGATTCATTTATTACCTCCCTTGGAAAAGCAGACAAATTGTAGAATATGGTTGGCCTCCTGATACTGACAGATACCGGCATCATCCAAGAGCCACACTACAAGAAAATCTTAAAAGTGGCAATAAATTACTTTTGGAGATGTTTTATTTTCTACTACTACAGGAAAAGAATTGAAAATTTGGATGTGCTAGAGTTTTAGAAAAAATAAACTGTTCCACTAAACCTTAATGGAATATTATGCTTAAGAGCTAGATTTTGTATAGTCCTATATTTCGTACTTTCAATAACAAAAACTGGAATATAAAACTGTAGTACATGCTTAACATTTAAAAATGAAAATTAATCTGAACTTAAAAAATATATTTACTGAGAAGAATGCAGAAATGTCTAGCTCTACCCGTATCCTCTACTGGAAGATGTTAGTTATTGCATTATCCTGCACATCCATCCTGTTATTGCATTCCTTCTTTTCGATGATCATTGATCATAAAACTAACATACTTATTTCCAACTTTAAAGGGCTGATTATGCTCTCAGTTA